ACTTTATGGTCCAAATGCTGCTGGGGTTAGGGTTTAAGATTTAGATTCATGGTTTGGGGTGGGGGGTGGCGTTACATAAGGGTTATATTGGGATAATGGAAAAGAAAATGGAAACTACTATAGTATAATGTGGTATATATTGGGGAAATATATCTAAAGCCAAGCGTCCTTGCCACCAGTGTACACACGGTCGGTGAATGAAGGTAGCTCAACGTCTGCAGCCTCCCAAATGTTTGCAAGAAGCTCACCGGGGAAAGCTGTGAAACTTGAAGGTGCTGAAGCTACTTGGGGGTTTCCCAAAATTAGGGGTACCTTTTTGGGGGTCCCAATAATAAGGACTATAGTATTTTGGGGTCTATATTGGGGTCCCCTTATTTTGGGAAACTACCACTTGGGCTTTGGCTTCGATTGCTTTCTCACCGCCCTTCACCTCCGCAGCCACTGCCATGGCGCACCCGGAAATCCGAGATTAGTTTCGCCTTGTCCAGGTAGGTGCGGCCTCTAAGCCCTCGGACTGACACCTCTGAGAGTACCAGGCAATTTCATAATCTCTGAGAAAGGCTATCTAGCAAGCCTTCAGATGCTCAGCGCCGCTCCTCTTGGATGTTTGGCACTCGGAAGTAGGTGTGAAGCAGCGCTTGAAAGGGAAATGCAGCCTGAAATCTTTCACCAACGCCTACGGCACTTGAGGTTGAGAGCACGCTGAAAGAAATGGCTGAGTCTTGCCAAGGCACGTCGCCAGTGTTCTTTATCCGCAGTGTCATGTTGAGAGACACCTTGGCATGAGTCTAAGTCTCACTTGAGGTCTGTTTTGGTGCTCTGGGGACTCTGAGGGCCTCGCTGCAGAAAGGCTGACTACATACTGCAAGCTGAAGGGAAAGTTCCACACGCTTCGCGTTGCCTGCGATTCAACCATGGCGTGCTGGCCCATCCTCAAGAACTGCCTGAGCCACAGGCTTCAGAGTCAGCGAGGGTGAGGATCACGGTGGACTCGGTGCATCGTGCAATGTGCGAGCCCAGGCTACTGAGCTTGGCTAAGCTGCTTGCCGCTTCGGGATGGTCCTGCCAGCACCGGCAACTCAGTAAAGTTCACGAAAGCCAAAGGATGCTACCGGATGCCACCTCTATCGATGAGATGGACCAGAAGCTGGTTCGCGCGAATCCATGCTGCGCCATTGCCTGGTGACTTCCAAACAAACAAAAAACCTTTGTGCTGCTCTCGGGCTGGGCACCTTGTCTGGTTGTCCAAATTGTGGAAAAACGAGAGGCACGCCTCCACGTATTGCCTCTGGTGGCAGCATAGCACAAGTTGACAGGACGCAGTGCGAGCAGAGCGATGCTGTGATTGCCTTCTTGCCATCAAACAGTGCCCCAGGTGACACAAAAATTCCTGGGCAGCATTGTGATGATCTAGTGGAAGGCCAGTTTCCTCCAACTTTAGTCAAGTGTCGCTCTGTGCCATCTGGCGTCTTGTAGCTGGTGAGCGTGGCACCCCACAAGTAGATCTAGTGGAGGCATCTCGTCACAAGGAACTGCCAGCTCAAAAAACAGGTGCCTGGGCCGTAGCTCCGCTTGCATGGCGCAGCCTATGGCAGGAAATGCCAAAAATCTCGAAAAGAATTGGCGTGCACCTTACCCTTTGCCGCCAAGGCGCTCGACAACATCCAGGTCACCCTGCCCTTTCCCTGGGGCGCTCATTTGCAGCTCCCAAAGCCCTTCCAGCTCTTAGGTTTTATGCCTGTAAGGCCGATTTCAAGATCCTTGAGAGCACAGCGGCTGCGAGGATCTGCGAAGGTTCTGCGAAGGTTCTGGTGGAAGCCGGGAAACCGTAACATAGTAGCTTCCATTTTCTTTATCCCCAATATTAACCCCAATATTATAACCCCATTATCCCTTGAAAGTCTTAGCTCCGCAGGGCTCCGCACATCAGCAGCTTCATCGATGGTCAAGATCGTGCCAGCTCCTCGCCAAAAGCACCCACCACAGGCAGGGCCGGTGCAGACCTAGCAGACCTGGCACTAAGTCACTACATATGTTAGATTATGTAGGGGATTATATAGGGGAGTATTATAGACGGTTATTGTTATTACTGCGCTACACCCTAACGCTGTTGGCAGTTGCTTGCTCCTAGACACGCTCGAGGTTCAGCAGCTGCCATCTCACGCAGCACTTCCTGCCACAAGAGCAGTGGCTGCTTTTGAGCTTCATCTAGAATCGAATTGTTGCTCAATGTTTGCTTTGTTCTTCTTGCTAGCCCAGTAGCTTTGGCCGCGCCGCTTCGAAACACGACCTAGGACAATCTGGCATCTTCATTTCAGCTGGGACAAAACTAACTGGTGCTAAAGGCACCTCGATGACGGAGAAGCCCCCATCATAAACAGCTCTAACCAATGCGGCTGCCTGAACGATCGCCATGCAAACATCATGAGAAGAGCGATGGAGTTGCGGCACAAAACGAGAAACTGCCACGCCACACAATTGCAGTACAAACCAGAACAAAGCTTACATTTCGTGTTGCAGCACCAGTTGACTCGGACTCTGCGTCCTTCCTTTGCACTTCGATTCGGAGGCCATGTAAGTATTGCTGAAAAATGCTTCCACATAAACAAAAGAAGAGGGAGCTGACTGCACAATAACGAGCGTCCTTGAACCCATGCAAGTCTCCAGCCTTGCTCGCATCTTCTATCAGCAGCACCTCACAAGCAAGCAAGACTTTTCGCGAAAGCTCCGTTATTCCAGCTACTTCAGATTCAGGCCCTGACAGGCACGACTCTCGCCGCGCGCAATTGTTGCGCAAATTGCACATCTGCCGCCTTCAAAGTTGCGGTATCCAACCGAAGAAGCATGAAAGCCGCTACCCATTTGATCCCTTTGCCTGCTTTGGGCGCCATGATTTCGTGCATGCCAATACGGTTGCTGCAGCAGCTGCGCCTGAGGTGTAAGAACACGGAGCAAAATGCACACAATGAAAGCACTTCGAGCTTTTGAAAAGGTGTCCAGTTTGAAGATGTTTTTTCTGTGTGACAATCCCCTCATCAGCCATTGTGCGCTATCGTTGCACTACCGATCTATGTGAATCCTGCGCATGCGGCATACTTAGATCCGTTGCTCTGTCTTTGCTGGCGCTCGCTCTCAAATTTGGCCAGTTTCTGCTGCTGGGTGTGTACTTTTCCAATGCCCATGCGTCATCAAAGAGCTTCGCGACTAGGAGTTCGTGATTATGTGTGAAGACAAGACCTCCCTTTTCACGCCACGTTGGTGACATCCCGAAGGCTGCTTAGGGGATTCTATGGGCTTCCCACGAGCTGAGTGCCTTCGAGCGCCTCTCAGGCCGGGCCTCCCACACACTGCGCAAAGGTCGCACACATCCCAAAATTGAAGAGGTAAGTACGAGAAAGCAAGGAGTCTCAACGAGGATGACTACAGGCAGCGTCTGCAAGCGCTGTTGTAAAGCTTGTAAACGATAATGGAAAGATATCCCTCACTTCAAACCAGCACCTGGAAACCACTGCAGCGCAAGAAGGACGCTCCACAAACCCCTACGACCTGAAACCTAGACAGCCATGGCCAAACGAGTGCAACCCCAAGGGTCACGTTTAGTTCACTCCCACTCTATCAAATTTTCCTGAATGTGATGTTTGTGTGCTGTGAGGGTGATTTGAGAAAGTGCTTTGGGCTGCGGTGTGGGCGATTATGAAGACTCAGCCATGACGTCGAAACGATTTGAGGAAGCAATTCGGAAGTGACTCGCTTCGAAAAACGGTGAGTTTGGCGGCTTCTCACAGAACAGCGTGTGACTTTGTCGCCCCTGCACTAACGAAGTGGTGGCTCGCCCGCTTCTCAAAGGTGCGACTCTGCGAAAGCTTGAAAGGGACGCTTGGCTTGGCTTTGCTCGGCCACACCCAAACACCAAGTGCCTTGCTGGAGAACGTGCATCCATGCTAAACCAAGTGCCAAGCCAGAAAGGGCGCCAACAGCTGCAGCAGCCGCCAGAGCCTTGCAGCAAGACTGCAGGGTTTCGGCAGGTTTTTTGGTGCATGCTACCATCCTTGTAACCGTTGGAGGTCGCCGTCATGGCGTGGCACTTCCATTGAAGGGAACACCATGCACTGCGTGTGGCTATAGAGTTTCAATGCCAGTGCAACACTGGCTTCACGGTCACCAGTTTAAGCTCAACAAAATGCATCACTTTTGTATAAAACATGAGGATAGCATGACAGATCATGGTGGAGCATAAGCCATGCTCAAAGACAGCACGAATTGCTTAAGAGCTGCTTTGAGTTATAATCCTCCCAAAGCCTGCGTAGATAGATTTTCCAGTTTCCAAGCTTGCTGCTAAATACTTGAATATTAAGCCACAATGAATGAGGCGGCAGCTTATGTGGGCTGAATATGTCCATATTCCTGGACATGGTTTTCTGTTAGGGAATATATACGGAGCTGTACTCAACTACCAAAGGGACCCCTATGTATATGTCCACCCTTAATGGTACCTTGGCAAGCCCAAAACTAGCTCACATAGACCCCTACATACGGCAATCCATGTTGTAGGACCACAGCATCAGGGCAAAGTTGCGAATCTAGTACTGAGCGGATCTGCGACGCTAAGCTTTCTTTGCTTTGGAGCATGTTTGGGACCCAAATCAATCTGCCCAAGCAGCGAGTTTTTGATGTCAATCCCAAATCAGCTTCCTCACTGGTGATTCGTTGCAGCCATCTTCCGCTTGCCATGCTCAGCTGTTGCGTCTTCTGACTTGTGACGTACTGTCAAGCTTGCCATGCCACAAAACCCTGAAACTGAACATGGTCACAAACAAGATCCACCGTTGCAATCACAAAAAATCGGCCTATCGACTGTCTACGAAAGCCTCCATTCAGCGGCCCTTGCGATTGTCACTTCCCGCCAGTAGTTGCTGATGGCTATTTGCTGGTCTGGACTTTGATTCAATGACGTACTCTGCAGTCCGAGATCATACGGTTTCAACTGAAAACCTGGCTTGCAAGAGTAGCTGCAATTGCAAAGATTTGTCGCTGCCATAATCACTGAGCGCTATAAATCTAACCTGGCTACGGGGTGGTTCCCTTTGAGACCCCACCCAGGCTGTCGAAGCGAGTCCCACGGTCCAGAGAGCTGGATAAGGTGAAGCTCTTGAAAATGAACATCGAATTCTTGTGAGACGTCTTTCTCCACCTGACTTAGCCAGTGTCGTCTTTCTGGTGAGACTCTGGTTGTGGACACGAGGGCGCATAGGAAGCCCCCAAGACCTCAGAGTAGGGCCGCAGGCATAAGATAGCTCTTGCAAACCACTGCTTGGTTGCAGCTTTGCCAAGCTGCAGGCAAGTGATTCGTGACCTGTTAGAATGATTTTGGCCTCACCCGTCCTCGCAGATGTCATGAGATCTACGTCAGAATGAAGGCAGGCAACAAAGCACGCCAATAATCTTGACAATCAGGCACGCACACTAAGTCACAAATCTTGGCGGTCGCATCACCGCCTTGGAGAAGGACAGCAGCGAGTCCAGGCCCAGCAGTCTTCGGCACGCACCAAGGCGCCCGCTTGCTGTCACAAAGGTGGTGCCATCGCTTGCAAAGGATGCCAGGTATACTGGCTTCTGGCCAAGGAGTGTCCGATCCTTGGAGCTGCCAGCGAGCCTCTATCTTGCCAAATTCGCAAATATTCATCACAGGCAATATGACCACTATTCTTTCGGAGTAGAGGGTTACGGGGTTCTGGATTTTCTGGAGGTCTGGCTAGCCTAATCTGTTCCAAGTCGCACAAACTCCAGTCTTGGCCTGGCTTCAGAGCACTCACTCAATGGGTTGCTGCACACATCGTGAGGCCAAGGCATTCCATATCTTCAATGTACCGTCGCTGCTCGTGGTGGTAACACTTCTACCTAGCAGCTGTGAACGCAAATGTGCAGCAAAGCATGGCTCACACCTTTGCAGCAGAAATGAGACAACATCAAGCTACCATCTGGCGAGAAGGTCGCCCACAGCACAGCAAAGTGATGCCTTCGTCGCGGCGACACAAGCACCCATGCTTGAACACTTGAGAGATGCCTCAAAAAGACTGAGGACGTGGCCCTTTCAAAGTGAGTTTGCAGATGCCCGTCCTTGAAAATTACAGGAAAAAAGGGAACTTCACAAAGTGAAGGCTCAGCAGCTCGGCAGCCAACTTTACGACCCAAATTTTTGCAGTGGCATCCTCTGACGCGGTTACGACCTGGCATTCAGCAGGATGCACATTCAGTGAGCCAGCGAATTCTGGCCTGCTTGCTGTCTGGTGAGAATGTGGCAAAATATACTGCTTCTTTGTGGTCCATCCTTGAGCACGGCGGAATCAAACACTGCTTGATTTGTCTCCGTCTCGGCACTGAGAATCTGGCAGTACGCGTGCGCATCTGCCACTGTCGACGTACCAAAGCCTGCAAGATCGAAGCCCACAGCGGATGATTTTGTGTAACGATGCATGGCGTCCTGGAAGACCCATCCTCCGAGGAGGTTGCAACCTGGTGTGCAAGCTGCGTGTTGAAGCATGACAAGAAGGCTCAGAAGGCTCAGAGTCGTAGAACCGGCTAAGCACCAGACGTACCGGCAGTCTGGCGAGATGCAGGCTGAGCCTGACGAAGCAGCTTCTGAGGAAGATGACACAAATGCCAGCGGCAGGGCTCCCTGCACACAGATTCAGTATGACCTTCCAGCACCAGCTCACACTTCCCAGTCCTGAAAGAAGGCGACCAAATGCCTTGACATGCGGCCCTGTACAACTCTGGGATGCGAGCTCCGCGTTCCAAATGCGAGCTGTGCAGTCCTTGGCAACAGCAACCGGAGACGGCCATCAGAAAAATCGCAGCAGGACCCCAGACCTTTGAAGCTGTGATGACAGCTGGGCTGATCTTTGCTCGCAGTACGGCGTTGTTCTGAGGGAGCCAGCGCACTGTGACTTCACTGGCTTCGACGCAGCAAATCTGGAATCTGCCTCTACGCCAGCTTCCAGAAGCGTGTCTTCGCTGTTCAGCCTCGAGCTCCCAATTCCAGAGCATGCCCTGTTATCGCCCATGCGTCTAAGTGCCAGACGCAAAGCGCTCACGTAGCTCCTTGAACAGCAAAACTTCGTGGAGTTGTAAAAAAAGTTGAAGTATTAAAGCACTGTGTCGCAGCTTGGCGGCCATCTTCCCACGCACCATTCTGGGTTCTGGCTTGGGTTCGGTGAAGATGGCAGGAGTCACCGACAGTCTGGCTTCCCTGATACAAACCTGCAACATGTTGCAACACCTAAACAATATCGCTAGTACTACCATCACTATCACTATACTACTAGTGCTTCTATTCCGTTATTACCTATTTCAATACAGCTACAATACACTACTTAGTATTCGTACTACCATTACCATGAGACATTACTCTCCGGGCCTGGGCCAGCTCCAGGACTTTGCAACCAAGCCTCAGGGAGGCCTCCCAGAAATTACAACTTAATCGCAGTTATAATGGGGGTTACATGGGAGTTCTATAGGGTTTTTTTCCGGGCTTATAATGGGTTAGATGGGATTATATGAGGGTTGTATGTTCTCTCTGCTTTCCGGACTCGAGAACTCTGAAATAGTAACTGCCTTAGCCATCAACTCGTCTGTCTCATCATTGATCACGGTCCTCGGGCATCCATGTCACATACATGGAGCTAGAATTGTATGGTACAGAGCTGTGGGTGCTGGACACTGACACAACAACCTTGCCCTTGATCTCTGCTTCTTCCCGCTTGATGCGAGCTTCCTTCAGCAAGGTCGCTTACCAACGAAAACAGAAGTCTAGGAGCACCAAATACGTCCTCCTCACGGGCAGCTCTTTCAGCCTCACCGTTGCAAAACACTCCCAAACATGTCTCACGGCTGATGCCAAGCCGAGTCCAGCCTCTTCGATCGCCTGTCGCTTAAGATCTTCGATTCGTTGACGCTCAGCCTGCAAGCTACACAGGGTCGCATGCAGAACACCAAATCACAAAAATTTGGAAGGGCATTCAGGGGCCTCTTCTGCGGCCTTCTCTGCAGCTATCCTTGCCGCTTCGCGCTCTTCCTGGCAGGAGCTTCGCAGCAAACAACCGCCGGCAACGGCATTGACCCTGGGCGACTGCAATCGCCTCCTCCCGACGAAGCCTTTCCACCTGCACAAGGGGGTGTGCCACGTCACGTCGCAGATCTTAGGGGCTTGGTCACGAGCTGGATCAGGAGCATGCAGCATGCAATGTTTCCCGTGCGAACATGATGCTTCGCACCTCCGCTATCGCTTGCTGCTTCAAATACTCCAGACGACCGCGCTCGGCCTTACAAAGCTACAGTGCGTGACAAATGGAGCACAAGCGCATTCCAGCGCCCGCGCCTCCTCCTCAGCCTGCATGCAAGCGTTCTCGAGCGCTGCTCCGCGGATTTTGTTGCAGGCTTCCTGCCGGACCTGCCGGCATTCGTCAAACAGGGCATGATCTCGGACACAAAACTCAAAATTGGCAGCCATCAAAAATGCGACTGAAGACGGAATGTCCGCTCGTACCAAAGGCAGCTTGTCTCACATGGATTTCAACGAGAAAGAAAGTGCCCACTCAAGAGCTGCTATGTTGCTTTTCCAAACGACCGCAAGCAAACACGCTCACATCTTTACAAGTCAGCATGTTCAAAAGGCAGGCCCTTCGCCAACCTCCTATGAACCCCGCTGCAGCAGAAAGAGGACGTACCACACTTGCAGCCTGCGACGGCGTCGGCGGCGCCTGCTGCGGTGCCTGCGGTGGTGCCTCAAGGGCCCGGTCTGGGACTTCAGTCGCTTGGATGTCCGAGGCCTTCGAGGCTGAGAGCACTGCCACACAGCACAGCACTGCACAGCTTCATAGAGCCGTGTGCCGCGCGGAAATATGGGAGTCTGGACGCTCTGCGGCAAGTCCACTGCCAGAGTGCACGGGAGCCGGTGGACGAGCCTGTGGTCGCGATTCCTCCGCCATGAAATTCGAAGGATGGCCCGATCAAACGAACACAGCATCCCAATGCAAGTCCTCACGGCTTAACTCGGGCATGACATCGTCAGGTTGTTCGCCCTTTACAGGTTCCACAAATCAACATGAATGAGGTTCCACGATGTAGAGTATACATTTGATCGACGATCATCTCAACAAGATGTTTTCCGCGCTTGCATCGGCAAAGCAGGCCTGCAAAACCAAAGACCCTTCGGTCGGCGTTGCGCTTGGCAACGGTTCCTCCTGATAACACAATTGACAAGCGGCTTTGCGCGGTCGGGTCACCTCAACTTGAACTGTATATGTACACATATATAGAAGAAGTATAAACACGTATGCATATTCTCCCACCTGCACAGATCGTGGGATGTGAGGGGACGGAAACATGAAGAATCTCGGCACGTCTGTCAGACACAAAGACAACAGAACACATTGCAAATACCTATACACTTGGCTCGCTCGTACGTATGGACATTTATTGAGGCGCTTGGCGGGAGTGGGGTAGATTGGGGTTTCCATACATCACACGCAAGACTTGACCTGGAGCCCAGGAAATGCACTTCCGCAGTCGCTCCTCATCGGCCTTGATAGAGAGCTTCCCTGAAATCAAGATGAGACAAAGGGCAGAGCAGGCAGAATCAGCAGTAGTATAATGTCATATTAAAGATATATAATATATTAAAATAAGATCATATATCATAATACTATATTATGATATATTATATGTACTATATTCTACTATATATTTATGAATCAGCAGATTTGAGGTACCATATACTATAATTATACAAGGAATATGGAACCATAACATTGGTGAGTATTTAGGCCCCCATATTAAGTCATAATATTGGTAGTTATTTCGGCCCCTAAGTGTAGTGTGCTGTAACATGACACTCAGAAGAAGGCCTGAAAAAGCTAAAGGAGTCAAGCCTGGCAACGCTCTTGACTCTTGAGCTTCTTTCAAGCAAAGAAAGCAGTGTTTAGGGTTTAGGGTTCAATGCCTGCAAACTCGACAACAATCTCATCTCCACCCTGCTTGCCCTCTGGAACGGTGATTTCAAACTCCTGCCAGTAGCGTGGTAGCATGGTCAAGCATGAGGGATCACAGGTTGTCGAATAATCTGCACTCAGCCTTGCCCTCGACCATGATGGTAAACCTGAGTAAATATTTCATCGCAAGCAATGCAAAAATACACAAGCTGTGACACAACAGAGTCACAGAAGCATGTCAAAACTCGTCACAATGCGCACTTGAAGTCACCACGCGCGAAATGATCCAAGAAATCCCAATTCAGTGATGTGCGCATGGGCAAAATTGGGGGTAGAGTTGCAGATCGGGCTTCCCCATCATAGGGCAGAAGACAAGGTGGATTCATACCCGAGAGACTCTTGGTGGCCAAATATGTGCTCGAGGAGTGAGATTCTCTTCAGAATATACATTCGAGATGGACCGAGCACACCCTCATCATAGCCTAGGCCAGCAAGAAAGGACTTCTAGCAATCAGCATCAAATGGATTAAGAACCGTTTACTCGGGAAATAGTATATTGAAGACTATCAAGAATTGAATGTCATAGTCGCTAAAACCTTGTTGTCACAGCAATGGCAGGAGAACAGTAAGAGTTATAGTTTCGCCAAGCACGGGCGAAAAAGGAAAAAAAAAGTACCTTCTTGCTGAGCTTTGAAAAGACTTGCCGAGCATTGTGTTGGCAGGAGGTCTGACCATGGAAGTACCGAGCATCCTCCGAATACAGAAGAATGTAATGTGCTTGTCCGGGCGCGATGCAAAATATTTGCACTGCGCACATGCCAGAATCAATGTGGTAGTGTAGCGCTCGCAGCTGCAGACTTTTTCCTAAACTTCGTCCACGTGCTCAAAGCTGGCTTCTGCAGCAAGGAGTACGCCCCCAGATGCTCATGAGATTTGAACAGGGGAGGGGACCAGAGGGCCAGCAAAAAACTCCTCCCTACCATAATCTGGAGAAATCCGAAAGAAAAAACACACACACAAAGACTGTGATTTTGATGTTGAAGAAACTCCATGTCGTAGAATATTGTTCTGCCGGTGGTCCGACAAATGGCCAGCCGGAAAAGTCAAAGTTTCAAGCGGTCCCTGAGAAATCGTGCCAAGGAGCGAGTCATTCGGACATAGCGTCGGCGGTATGCTGACTCCGAAGGTATGCGGGTCCTGCACAATGGATGTTCTGAAGCTACGCAAAGTCTGGGGGCAAAGAATTCGTGCTCCTGGCGGCCTCCAGAGGAAGGCGGTTCGGACAATCCTCCGCGCTCCAGGTTGCAAACATACGTAAATGCATTGATGGGCTTGCCTGATGCATCAACTTCAATGACATCACCACCTTGGCAGTTGTGAGGCACCGGTATCTCGTAGTCCTGGCCACATCTGCAGTCTCCCTGCGGCCACTATTGACTTCTACAGCTGCGACCTTGCCCTGAAGCTGCGCAATGAACCTTAGCAGCACGAGACTTCCTGAAAGGGTTTAGGGTTTAGGGATTAGGGTTTAGGGATTAGCATTGGAGAAGCCTGCAAACCAGTGCCCTTACGTGCCAACACCTCCCAAAGCGCAGAAAAGGCCCGCAGGCAGGAGTCTCTCAACACGGAGAGATATTAGTTTCTCGCCTGCTACCAAGGGCTTTGGATCTCGTGAACAGAAAGCAAAACATGATCGCCAACAAGATGAATACCGCTGGCGCATCTCTGATGTGAAAGTTGGTCAACCCTTCTACACTGCAGTCACGGAACAGATCGCCAGCGTGCAGCGTCTCTGGAACAACCACTTCGTAGATCTTGGATGCCTGTTTTTGCAAGCCGCGCAGCAAAGTACAGAGTCTGCAGATTTCACCCACCTGCGAGCCCCTTGATGACGGCTGTGACAAGCCTGCGCTTGAGACAGGCAAATTGTGGGATTGCAGCTTCGACAGCAACTCCAAAGCAGTCCTGACAAGTCAATTTCGATGGTGTCTCCCTCCTGGCCACCCTCTGGCACAGAGATTTCGTAGTCCTTGCGGGCAAACGTTTCACGGCCAACATGCCAGGCACCGCGCAAGCTCCGGCCTTGCCATGAAGAGTGGCGATGAACCTTATGCTTTCGAGGGTGCATGCCAGCCACAAAGTTCAAGCCCGGTTACAGAGCTGACAATGGGGCAAGAGGCCCCCCAGCAGCACGAGCACCAACGGGTATGACCACCTCAACGATCTCGGTCAGTGGTTCTTGCGCCTCACAAGGGCGACGTCATGCTTGGCAACTCTGCTTTGTACCTAAATTGGAGTGAAGCGCCCGCAAGCACCAGCAAGAAGTATGACAGGCCTCGTAGGAGCTGGAACGACTGGTTACCAGGCCAATGCCTTCAAGCACAGAACTCTCATCCTTGAGCTGGTGAGGCAAACTCCTGCCTTCTTGTGTGAGGGAGGATGGGACCTCCATCTCAATGACTTTACCGGGTCCGCAGTTCTCCGGCACAACCACCTTGAACTCCACTCCATTTACCTGGCAAGAAGGCCTGGTTTCAGACAGTGCCACTGTTAGGTTTCAGAGCACCTCAGCATAGAAGACATCTCCGGCATAGATTCCCTCCGGAATGGTAACATCCACCACATCCACACCATTGGACCGAGGCGTCTCGTTGCTCAATGTCTTTTCCTCGGAGTAACATCTCAGATCATTTCTAATTTTGTACGAACTCTCCAATACCTGACAAAAGCCTACAGCTTGCCCTCTTGATCCCTAAAATGCCCCTTTTGCCTTCGAGCCGCCTTGCCCAGCTGCGGCCCCTGCGCCATCAGCAGAAACCGTGGAGCTTCCAGCACGGTGCTCCCCAGCAGCTCCGACAGCACCTCCTTCTCCATCCGCAGAACCTGCCAAGTCTGCCAAGCGATGCAGAGTTGTTCAAAGGGTTTGGGCGACAAATGCGACGGTTCCAAAGCCTCCTCCGCTCGCTGCAGCACTGCGCCATCACTCACGGAGATGCTCGCCTCAGGATGCAATGCTTTCGCTTTCGCCTTACCCGCTTCCATCGCAGTGTGAGTCTAAGATTTGGGCGTCCACAATGACAGAGCCAGGTGAGAGGCGCAGCTGAATCAGGGACCTCGGACTTCTCTCGTGTTGGTCCCAAACCGTAAGACTTTGTCATTGTTCCATGCAAGCCGAGCCGTCAGCTTGTTGACTCCCAGCGATAGCGCCAGTGACTTCGTAAAGGCCTGGGTTGGAGGATCACTCCATGTCATGAGCCACTGCGCAACGCAGAAGAACCCAAAGTGATTTACTGGAAGACTGCTGATCTGACAACGGCACCGCTTTGTCGAAGGTCGACAGCTCCCCATCAAGCTTGAAATGCATATCCAGGACGGGCACTTCTGCGGCCTCCACAAAGAAGGACATACTTTTCAAGAAGAAAATATACTATACCTCCCAAGAGTATGGGTGGTGTCTACCCTTTGCCTGGGCTCCCATGAGGTTCATGATGGTCGGAGTGGGCTCCTTGATAGCCTGCGGAGGCTCGACCCGGTGACGTCAGGAACCCCGCACGTACAGCCCAGGAGTCTTAGAGGGAAACAAATTCCAAGAGCAGCCACACCATCAGTCCTGCTTAAGCTTTCGCACCTCTCTTCGCAGAGTTGCCATCTCTTTTGCCATCTTTTCCTGGCGTCGTGTTCATGTTCCGTGCACCTCTTGCCCTACGCGCAATCAACCAGGAGCCAGGTGCCTTCGCATCGCTTCGTTCCATCTGGTGCTTCTGGGCAGCATGCTGCGACTGGGCCAGAAGCCTTGCGTGCTCCTGGCTCACTGGCTCAGGGAGGATTAAGACTGCATCACTGCAAGTTGAATTTGTAAGATGATCTCACCATCCAGTCCTCCTTCAGATGAATAATCTCCTTCTTCAGGGCTCCGATGTCCTCATCGGCCTCTCAAGAGCTGCGTTGAAGCTTTCAACAAAATGCCAAGGCTCGCACCTTGGCCTCTGGAGCCAGAGCCTCTGGCTCTAACTCCGGTCGCTGGAGGCGTTCCTCGAAAGGTCTCCACCAACATCTTGAATCCACGAAGCAATCACGTTGTGCCTGCTTCAGGTTCTCCATCTCCTGCTTCAAATTTTCAATCTCCTTCGTCCATCCCAAGGCCTGCAGCTTGGGGCATCGGCATTGCTACATGTCATTCGGAAGGCCCCCTGGTGACAGAACGCAACTGACTGCATTGGCAGTGCATCGCCAGGGAAGTTGGCGTTTGATCACGAACCGGTTGAGCAAGCCGCCGGCTTGGGGGCCGAGTGCAGTTATCGATACACACCTGCGCGAAGTGTGCGTACCGAGGATGCGGCGAAAGCCGGCAAATCGAATGAACAAGGTTGGCGAAGCCAGGGTGCTCTGAAGGAGCGGCAGCTAGAATGAGCGGGATGCGCAGGACAGAATCCCTTTCATGATCCAGAAGCATGGTACATTCGCTTCTTCAGTCTTCTCTGCACGGCTTCTTGGACTGCTTGGCTCTCGGTCATGCCGCCACTTCGAGCAATCGTGCAAGTACCAAAACATAATCCAAGCAACTCCGAGCACGGTTCGCGCTCTGTAGAAGATGGAGGTCTACTTTCTGGCTCTTTCTTTCCGTTAGATGATTGTCTGTTCCGTTTAGAGCTAGTGAGGATTGTTGCCATGGTGAATGTGCTGGAGCTGTGGCTCCTGGGAAAGGAAAGGGACTGGAGTTCAACGCGACGGCAAACTGAAAACAATGGCAAGGAAGGGCGCAAGCGCGCAAGATGTTAGAGCAGTTGTTGCAACCGAGGTTTAAAATGTTATGGCTCGAAGAAAACTCCATCACAGGCAAAGGCACTTGACCGGAGTCATCAGGAGCTGAATGCTTTACGACGGTTTATCCGCGATGGTGACGGGATCTGACAGCATGGACAGCACACACTATTACGAGACTGGAGTTGTGCTCCGTACACGGAGCGAACGCGAGCCCCGAGCATTATTAATCTGGAGATGCACCGCACACTGGAAACTGCCCCAAGTCAACCTTGCAGCCTTCTAGTCGCATATAATAGCGCTGGAATTACCAATGCATGGGATTCCTTCCGCACGAAAGCAAATAGCATGAGGGCAAAGATGAATGCAAACAAAAAAGCCCACAGGTCTCCAGAAGCCATATTTGGTACAAAGAACTCGCACATGAAGGAATCTGCAGCTTCCAACGACTCCTAAGACTGCGCAGGTGTCTGCCTCCAGTGTCTTGCCAAGAGCTGAATGCGACTCGGCAGTGTCCAGCCTGGGACAGGGACGTCTGTGGATGCAACGATGCAGAAAGGCATGCACAGCCCGGGCACACGGATGGGGCACTTTGCTCATGCTGGGATAGGGATCGCGCTCTGCTTCGGGTATAGCATGATGCGGCATCGCCGCCACAAGGACCTCTGAGGCATGCAGCAACACCTTGCATTTTGTAGCCCGGATTTGGGTAAGTTCCTGGCGTCACCACCCTCACAGCCCTCTGGTACTTTCAACTCCATCTCAAAGACAGCAACGAACTTGTCACCAGGCACACAGTCTTCGGGCACCACAATTTCAACCAGGTCGTCTTCAGTCCCTGCAACAGATCCTGCCACACTCTCAGGCTTTTCTGGGCTCGTCGTCCCGGCAACATCCCCAGACGCTGCCCCAGACTCTTGAACCACTTCCGCTGCTTCCGCTGTGGGCGAAGTCTGTCTCTGAGACTCTGGACTCGATGGTCTCTCAGGCGTTGTTTGTATCGCCTTGCACAGGACTCTTTCAGATCCTAGAAGTTCACAACTCAAACCGAGACCCAAAGAGTCCAGTGCCTTTGCTTTCTTTCTCGCGCTTGCAGGCCGCGAGTGCCTCTGATGCAGTGCCAACTGAGGGTACGATGTTTCTGCAATACTCTAAGAACCCCGGGCTGCCAAGATTCGACTTATCTGTGGCAGTGGTTCCGGATGCGGGCCGTGAATTGGCGAGCCGCCCTCAGGCACTCAAAGGTTTGGGCTACCCCTTTGAAGTGTGCTGTGGAGGAGGCCTTCTGGAAGAAGATCCATGTATATCACTTCACCGGGTTGGCATTCATCCGGCACAACCAGCTCAATGTCCACACCATTCACCTTACATCCGATTTATCACGAACCCCTAAAAACCCCAATATTCATATATGTACATATATATGTCTGTATGGATTACCCGGGCAATATGGAGGTCCTAGTACTGCTCTTGTAATTAATTACTATTTACTACTCCTATTATTATGACGAATATTGTTAGTATAACTTGGGATTGTGGAATTCTTGACCGCCCTGCCTCGATGACAAAGAGATCCCCGGGATAGCATTCCTCAGACGCAACAGGGACAGGCACCGGCTGCAGCTTGGTCACGAACGGGTTCTCCGAGCTGCGTCCGGAATCGTGATCTCTAAAACCTTCAGGTGAACAAATGGCTTGTTCAGGCCATATTTCACATATGAAAAGACACAGTATACATATTCATAATATATATATACACGTATCGTATATGCTGCAATTTCTGGCAATGCGCTTTCGTGTCAAGCATCCATGAAGCAAAAACACAACGCGTAGATCTTGGGAGGGTAACCATTTAGCTCACCTGCCCCGCTTAGGCCTTGGCCCGCAGGATGGCCACTTCTAGATACATCCGCGATACCATGTAGGGATAATGGAAAAGAAAATGGAAACTACTAAAATTGGGCTATATAGGGATTATAGGGTATATTTTGGGGTTATATAGGGGTCATATACTGAAATTCATCGAGAACCACCTGGACAAGCTAAAGACGGCACACAAAGTCTGATACGGCACAATGAACTGCACTCAGTATTTCACCAATCTGTGAGAAGTTCCCAGCTCGGATAACATCCAAACCAGAGAAGCATGACATCAAAATGAAAACCCACCAGATACTGAAAAGCAACTACTTTTGCATGACTTTAGACTGGTATCACGGTCAAGTAGAATTCCACGAAGTCTCTGCCAGGAAAAAATTCAGCATGGATCTGCATCAAACCCACCATGATCAAGTAGGATCCCGCAACTTCCCGGCATCTCCTTAGCCAGAAATTCATCCCAATTAGGTTTGTCCCCAGTTCCCAATAGTCCACACATTGGCCATATTGAATGTAAGAGATCACAATGCAAAGGAAGATGCCACCTACAGAACATCTCCACATCAAATTATCAAGTCATCAAATTGATAAATTCTCTATGAACCCAAATGCAAAGCTAGTCAAGGCTGCAGTCCACCGATTCCAATTCAGTTCAAACTCTACTAATTCATGCTCGGCATTTACGTCTAGACGATGCAGATGTAGCTCCAAGTAAACTGAATCAGCATTCCACCGCAAGATTGCACACTGAAAATGATAATTTGGAAAAGCCAATGGTATGTAACTAGGAAATTCCAATAAATTCACGATAAACCCAAAGCAGAAACAAGTACATTCGACTAGGTAACCAACTTCTATGTCCAATGTATATACACCCCCAATAGAAATCAGTCACATGGAACAGGGGATGTCCATCTGAATCCCGTTCAGACATCAAAGGCCTCAAGTCTTGAAAGACAACAGGTTCTAAACGGACCCGACGAGGAACGTCATCACGCTCAACGCGAATTTGACACTTCCGGGCGGTATTAGGCCCTGTCTGGACCACAACCAAAACCAGTCAAAATCAGCTAGGCTAGGGTTCCACTTCTTCTTGGAGGATAACAGGAATTTAGAGTCCCATGCGAGAGTTTCCGAAAATTAAGGGCACATTTTGGGAGTGCCTCCATCATATGGATAATCAGATAATCATGCATTGACGTCCCTATCAGGGCCGCCAATTTAGCGAAACTACCATACGTCATATAACGTTTCCGGCACAACACTTTTGCAGCCCTACGCGCTGAAAGTGCTGCACAGACCAATAAACCTTTAAACACATAAATGCTGTACTGTCCCTAAACCGACTAAGACAAAACAGCCCGCTGTTCCTCAAAGTCGTGCTAAGGAATCTTCCAAAGACTATCCAGGCAATATCATTCCCTGAAAACTGTTGGTCTTTAGGTTCTTTGATGCGTTAACGACTGTGCAACTAATTTGCGATGCCAGCATTGTTTCTTCTGGGGACAGTACAGCAGGCTGGCAGCCTGTGCCATCTAACAAACTAAAATGCCTTCAAAAACAAAAAAGATGCTGCGCGGTCATTACGAAAGGTTGTCAAAAAAAATCGTCTCTGGGCCTGAACAGTGCATTGAAGACTGGCTTTGGGGATTTTTGAAACAATTCAGCATTTTGCAGTGCCAGGGGATTGGGGAACTGGGCTTTATAGGCAGTAGTATACGTCTTTCCTCTGGACGGCCAAACAAAAGTCGGTGCAATGTTGCATTGCCTCTCTTCCATTCAATGAAGACTTGGCTTCCTGAATTGGCAGCACATGACTACATGAGACTGTCACTATTTGATCAAACCACATTCGGGGTTAGGGCTTGGGGTTACAGCACTATGCCCAGACAAAACACCATGTTGACAAGAAAGTCTACTCGAAGGAAAGCGGCAAGCACGATATCTTCAAAACGCTTCATGTCAAGCATTGGCCTAGGTCTTGGGCGGTCTTTTGCTTGATAACTTGCACTCCCGCCCGCCAACATGTCATACACTTCTTTTTTGACCTTGGAAAAGCCGGGTGCTATTTACCACAGTTTTTCGGCTTGTGTATTGTTGTACTATGAGGGTTGCTCCCACCATTCGCACTATTTCAAACTTCCGTGCCATATGTTTCTCATTCATTAATACTAATAGGCCTAACGCTGTTGATGCTAATGCCAAATTGGAACAATAACAACAGCAATTCGAAGAACAGGTGACAAAATGAGAACATAGTTCTCAAAAGAAGGGGCAATTGGGAGATCGCTGGGTCCTGGCAAGCTCAATGGAGAGGAGTTCGACCCAATCTCCCAATCTGCTAAACCCATCGCCCACTCGCTCATAGTGAGACTTAATGTTGGTTTCAAGTTTCCGGAGTTTGCTAGCGTTTATACACACAGGCCGTACTTATAAGAACATAAGACGGCGCATTCCTCCGTTTTTCAGCTATGCTGGTACTGCCCTAATCAACACGCCACATGATTTCAACACAGGAAGATCTCTACCAATATACACAGAACCCACCGGCCTCTAGGCGAGAGGCCCGTGACCCCGCGGAGGCCGCGGAGCCCGAGGCGGAGAACTGCGAAGCCTCCATGGCCTGGAGCTGCTCCTTTGCCAGCTCCTCGTCTCACCCAAATGTCCAAAGAAGGCTTAAGAAAGGCATAGAATTCCCATGCCCGGCCTCGAAGATCTTCTTCTTCACTGCTGATGCTGGTCTCGAACTGCTCTTCTGCTTGCTACTGAGCTCGGTCGCCGGGTAGGGCCCAGCGCCCTTCATGGATGCTTGCTTCTGCTACTACGAGTGCATGTAATATCTTGGTGCCACTGGCCTCTCGCAAGTCCATGTAGATCACCTCGCCAGGCAAGCAGCCATCTGGGACAACCTGGCGGTCGTTTGTGAAGCATGAGAATGATAAACATCCTTGAGACCAGTGACCATCTCAAACTCCACGTCGTCCACTTCCACAATGAAGGCATCTCCTACAAAGCACAAGAACCTCACAAGCACATGAAACTGGGCACAGCAGAAGCGCCGCCTGCATAGCAGTCTGGCGGTATCAGGATCTCGATGAAGTTCGAGTCATGCGAGGATTTCGACTCATGTGGCCTCAGCAGGTGTGCTAGCATGGGGAACCTTCCTGCTCGGAAAGGCCCCCAAAGGCCTGAGTTTGCCAACTTCACGTCATTTAAGCCAGGATGCCCTGATTCCTCTTCAGCTCGCCTCTGCGAAATCTGAACTTGCCGCACCGCTTGCAGCTCTTGACGAACTTCTTGCAGCTCTTGACGCATCTCTCGCAGCTCCTCAGCAAGCGAAGAAGCCAACTGCTGCTCGCGCTGCTTGCCGCAAAGCATTCCCAGGCTCCGGGCAGAAGGGATTGGACTGGGCAAGAATCCTTGTGAAGGCACCTGCAGCGTCATCTTGTCGCCTGGTCCGTAGCCGTCCTGAACAGGCGCGCTTGATTTCGGGTTCCCTCTCGGTTTTCCCCTACACCAAAAATAAAATTTGAAAAGGCAGCAAAGTCTCGGGGACGGGAACATCAAATTCCACGTTATCAATGACCGCCACAAATGTTTGGCCAGGGACCGCATTCTCTGGAACTTCAATTTCCGCAAAGACATCCGAGTTGCTAGAACCCTGGCTGGCCATGGCATCCCTCACGAGAATGGATGGCACGTCAGCCATAGGGTCAGGGGTAGCAAACTTTCCAATTGCATGCTTCGATGGTACCTCCAGTGTAATCACATCCCCAGGGTTGCTGCCTTTTGGCACCAGTATCTCAAATTCTAGCCCGTGGACTGCGGCAAAAAAGGTATCCCCAGCTTGGCAGCCGTCAGGCACGGTGATTTGAACAATACTGGCGTCTGTGGCAACAGATTCTGCCACAGAGGCCTCATATTCCAGGTCTCCCTTGGACGAGCCTATGGACCCTACGGGCCCTGGTCCGGTATCCGGAGAAACGAGTATAATGGACGGCGCTTGCTCGTCCAGACCCTCCAAAGACCGTAAATCTGCCAGTATGTCCATAGCAATCATCTCTCCTGGGGCGCAGCCCTCTGGCGCAATGACTTCATACTCCATGTCATCAACCACAACAAAGAACTTTTCCCCTGGTCGAACGTTCGGAGGCACAGCCACATGGATCGACTGTCGGGAAGAGACCGAGGGTGTCCGGCTGGAGCCTGGCCTCTCCACTTCCGATTGCTCGGCTTCACGAGGATTCCCATCTGTCCCATCACCCCCAACCGCTGTGGGGGTCCTGGGGGCATCCGCGCTCTGAGTCGTGGCGGCAGCTTCAGTGCCTCCAAGCAGCCAAGCTTCACAGAATACAAACAAGCAGCAAGAAATCCAAAGGCAGGCCTTGGGCAGCAGCTGCATCTACATTGGCCTCAGACTCAAGACATGACTGTTTTTCTGCACGGCACCAGCCCTTTCCAAAAATTAACAGCGGTCTACAGCCTCTTGCACTGCTTCCATAGCGGAACACCTCCCTGTTCAAACTCATCGCATTACTGCTCCCAGAAAACAACAACTTCCTGTGTTTGCAGATGAGTCACCACAGAATCCTCAGTCATGACCTCAGGAAGGTAGAAATCTTGAATGAACACTTCTCTAAATGCATGTTGGAAGTCAGCAGAGCTGGTGATCAGGCCTCCTTTGATCTTTGCTGAGGCTCAGCATTCACTGAATCTCTTCCAGGCTGCCATGTTGCAGGAAGCTGATGCTAGCCCAGCATCTGACACAAACTGGCTGCCAGTCTATGCTCATGCAATCAACCCTGTTTCTTCAGCAAGTTATGCTATAAAGTTGGGTAGAGGGTTGCTGGAGCTTTGCAGTGTGAAGTTGTCTAAGTGGCGTTCGGCTCTACAATGCCCGTGCGCAGAAGCCTAGAAGGTTGACAAGCACAGGTTGGCAGGTGCAGGCAGACATCGTGACATGCCGAACAGTCGATGACCATGTGTCCTGTCTGCGTGGTCTCATCATTCAACTATTCAACGATTCCACTTTACAAACTCCGTCGCGTGTTTTAACTCCTAGCTGAAGCGATTTCCAGATCAAAGTCCGGCAGCTGCCAGTGCCTCGCTGGTGGTCACAGCAGCCTTTCCGCCGCTAAATGCTACAATGCGCGCCTCATCATCCGAGAGCGGTTGCATGCAAACACCCTTGCGTAGACAAGCAATCGCGTTGACGGCAGCCAGCGCAGCAGCTTCTCCTTCGCCAGTTTGCGCAACAAATCCACTGTCCCCGTATTTGTTGGTGATCTTCGTGAAGGTGTCGGATGCGATTCGGTACTGGAGACGTTGCGTGAGCTTGGTGGCAATGGAAAAATTCAAGGGGTTTGCCGAGCGCCCCGAAGAGCTTCGCGGAGAGACCAGCAGAACGACGGCGTTTTCAGGGTCCCACTGCTGCTCTTGTGCAAAGTACTGAATTACACTCTTCACGAAATCCGACCACAGAGACCTGTCTTGCGGGCCATAACCAGGAGGTGGGCACACTAGCCGGAATCGATATGGCGTGTCACGTTCAAGCAGGTCAATCGCCTTTTCAAGGTCCTGCTCCAAAGATGCCGGTAGCAGGCCACCCAGGTCAAGTACACGGCTCCCTGCTACAGGAAGCTTGACATCCAAAGCCTGAACTTCCACTTGGAAGACCTGCGGCATAATGATCGCAGGCAGGACCCACGCGGCACGCCGCCGGAGGGCACCCTGCCCAGTTGTAATGGAGCTCGAAATATCGAGGAAACACTGGCCGAAGCTAATCCAGCAGAGGCAGCTGATTGCTCGAAGGCACCTATCAAGTCCAAGTCTAAAGAGCTTTTGCGGCCGAATCATGTGCGGATGCCTTGAACGCGCGTTACAAGAACAACGTTGCACAGCAGAATTGTTCCCATCCTGGCAGAAAGTCGAAGTGCTCGTCCACCTACACATTCTCTCTTGATTCTGCAGACACATGCGGCAAACGCCTTGCCTGCCATAGGTTCAGCGGTTCAGCGCAAGTTCTACCGTCCGCGAAATAAGCAACAACGTAACAATTGGCCCAAGTCAATACGGTCAATCCCAGCTTCAAGCGCAACTGTTTGACAGCGAAATGTGTCTTTCATCTCCCAGCATACCGCATGACATCTTTACAGATGACCGTTTTGGGCAGGCTAGTATGCTGTACGACTGTACGAAGTGAGCTTCAAGGCTGCAGAGGCGGCAGATCCATCAACTGATCTCACTTCTGTGTGTTTTCAATGACCATATGACCATTCTCGCTGCACTTTGCCGCTGTTGGGATGTCAAGCTGCGCCTAGGCCTAGCCGCATGCTTCCATCAGCGAGACGTGAGCAGACACGATCTTCCAGCCAGCGGGGGTTCCTGAGCTGTCAGAAGGAAACCTGCACAGAACAGCCTATCCTTGGCCGAGACACGCAGCCATGTCTGCGATTGTCGCCCCACTTTTATACTGCCTTCCCGCTGGAATTCAACATTGGTCACCTGGGTGACCCGGTCGCAATGCTTCGCGTGAAAACAAGCGCATTGTGCAGTGCATTGGTTCATTGCAGTCCAGCATCTGCAAAGTCTGAACCATAAGTTGTGATGACAGACTTCAAGATTTTTCGATCGCCAGGTGGGGATCTCGATTCTCGAAATGCTTGGATAGCCTTGCCATAAATACATAAGGCAGAAGGGATAAAAGCTGCTTTGTCAAGAAGTAAAACTAATGATATCAAAGTCTTCTGAGTTACATGCCTACAGCAACCAACACGTCTGACAACCCTACACACCACCTTGTACCCGTAGAGGTTCTCAGCAGTGCCAAACCGAACGGTGCTTTCGTTGTCAAAAAAGAGCCCGTCCAGGACCTGCAGACATGTCAACGTAACAATGGGGCATGACATTTCAAATTTCAAGCAATGACAAACACCCCTTGCCTGAACATCATTGTTGCACAGTGCAGACTCGTAAACGTTGAACGTCTGCGTGACCTCCTTCAGCACCTTGGTTTTAAGGTTGCGGAACGGGCATTCACACATCACAATCGTGCCATGCATGTTGCACCAATCACTACGCAAAGAATCCAGATTGGATATGAAAACCGTGAGTCCAAAACGGCTCTCTCACTGCCACGTGTGCAAAAATGACCAACCCCAACGCTGATCACGACTTGACATTGAGCGAAACCGTTGGAGAAAAACCCAGTGAAATCAAATCTTCGGATAAATCTTTTCACTGAGCCAGGTCCAATCGAAAAGGGTCTTGGGACATCAAGTACATGGACAGGCAAGACAGCTAAATTGCAAGGCATCGCAAGGTATTCTGTGCAAGACCTGGCTGAGGCAGGTACAGTGGGATCATTGAGAACATATTTGCCTTGACCAACAAATGCATGGCAGCGTCGCAAGCGCGCTTTGGCGAGCCATCGCCGCACAGGGCTCAACATGTCGCATGCAATTCTTGAACTGAACCGGGCTAAATTGGAACACATCCCAAAGCATTCTCTCCACCAGAATACACGAGAATGAGAGCAAATTGATGAAGGTTGTCTGCATGTCATCAGCTGTCATCATCTAACGGACGTGAAGCAACAAGCATGACAGCCTTACACCTGTTCCCACGTCAACAAAATGTCAGGGATGCACCTACGAAACCAGCGCAGCGCACATTTATTGTAGTTCAGCCAGCTCAGCCACGCTAAATGATCTGAAATATTTCAAGATGGTTGCGATACCCAGCGGAATGGAATTTGTGGTGAAGCAAAGCACTGTCTGCGCAACGCGGCTTCCATGAGACGATCGAAATCTGCTGCCAATACCATGCAACAAAATATGCAAGCAACGTGAAACTGCGTTCGAGTCACCTGGTCCTGTGTATGTGTACCCACCTGAGCAACTACAGGCCTCCTTCACTTGCAAGAGTACGATCATTGTAGCCGTGCAGCCGCAAGACCCGCAAAACACAAAAACGACGTCATGCAGCCAGATGCACATGACCGGTATACTTGCATCTGTATTGGGATGTTTTGCCATTCCAAAACAGAACACATATCATGACCCAGCTTGCAACCCAAGCTGTGCATAAACTTGCAAAAGTACTGACAACAACAGTCAATTGGAAACGATCATCCAAGCCCGCGTCCGCAACGTGTAAACAATCCGTTTGAAGGGTATTACCCTGGCCCACAAAATCTAGCCAGAACCAAGCTTCAGCTTCGGGCATGGCAAACGACCAGCTGAAACTGAAGGAGACATAGAATGGCAGACTGTACCTTGCACGGCCGGTGTAATCAACATCACCTGAGCTCCCGATTGATAAAGCTTGAGGAAGTTTGTGGCTACAATGGCCTGAAATAATTCTTGAAGATACGACTCAAACTTAAGTCTTGACACCTGATTCATCATTCCAAACACCACGTGGCCACGCACATCACCAAATGACTGAACATGAGATGCGTGACCACACTTGCTCAAATTCGTACACGCAAAAACGGATGGAAGGGAGAATCAAAATGGCAACCAAAACACTCCCGCTCCGCCCGACCAGTCACGGTGTTGCATATGGTAGGATGCTTTCAGCATGTTTGTTTAAAGTTTGGGTGGCTGAAACAGTTTGTCACACCTGGTGAACCCATATTTGCATATGCACATGGAATCACGTTGTACATACACTGTGTGGCTTGGCGAAACATACAACAACATAAACTTCCACTCACGGGAAAGCCTTTTCCGCCATGCAAACACTCGAGTTTGAAAACTGAGTGCGTTTTATCTTCATATGCAGCCAGTCCCAAAAACAACGGAATGAGCCAGATGGCGTACTATAAATGCAAGTCATCAAATTTGCGTGGACAATGCATTGCACTGATCTTTTTGCTGGATGGTGGTGCGGATCCAACCTGAGTATGACCTGAGTGCGACCTATTGTCAAACACCTGTAGCCTAGAGTGAGCCACACGTACAGAGCCCAACCATAGGCATGTGGTGAGAAAAGGTACATGCAAGGAATTTACCACTGAGTCTAACTTCTGTTTTGTTGACACAAGGTTTGCTTTCGGCGCTTGCAACTTTTGTGCGGCCCTGAGGTGCTCAAACTCGGACTATGCTGCCTGGAGCGAATTGAAGATTGTCACTGGCAAACAGGCCCCAAGTGACGCCTCCACCCTATAAGACCCAGGTCAAAACAATCAAAGCGACAACTGGTTATGTCATCAGCCTCAACATTCTCTTCCCTAGGACGCCATTGAGGCTTGAGACGTGCTCCAACGGATGCTGGGCGCGACGACATCTGCATCAAGATCCCCATCAATGGCCACGTCATCGAGGAACCTTTGTCCACAGCCTGCGGGAAGGCTGGGCACCGAAATCACAGCCGGGTAGACACTCCCGTTCGGAGACAACTCCCCGGCAAACACGACGCATGCCATGTATGTAGCAAGAAGCTGAGCACTCAATGCTGCCCATTGAGATGCACCGTCGGTCCTGAACAACCAGGGAACCTTTGTGGCGTCAACACAACGCAAAACCACTTGGACTTAGCAGGATTTGCATCTGGGCCAAGAAGCGTCTTTTCCCCGTTTAGGTCGGCCCATTCCGAGTGTTTAAGACGGGCATAGGGAATATCATGGAATATCAAGCTGTGCATAATACTCGACATCTACGGGAGCCATTACGAAGCCTTCATTATGCTTGAATCCAGATTTAGGGAGCTCTTAAGAAGCCCTCTTTATGCCTGACTTCAAATTTAGGAAGCCCGCGAGAAGGTCTCCAGACTCAGGCTGGGAAGCCCTACAAAACCCCTCAGTACTGCAGAATTCACATCTACGGAGCCCTTAACAAGCTTTCAGTAGGCTTGAATTCAGGTTCAGGAAGCAGGATTGAAACCCTTCCCAAGGCATCAGGTGAGACACCCCTGGCCTTTCCCAAGGCTTTTAGCAACCCTTTTTTGCATAGAGCCTCTCCCTCATGGCAATTGCCTGTGCTTTTGTCAAGTGATCCTTTTCCAAGGCTGCTTTGATCTCATCTATGATCTCCTCAAAATCAG